CCGTCTGCGCTTCCTGTTGGTCATTTTTGCTGTAGGTCATTTGAGCCGGCTTCGATGGTACATGGTCCTCCAAAATTGTATCATTCCGGGGGTCCCTCCCTCCCTTCCTCCCTTCCTCTCACCCTCCCTCCCTCCCTCCGCCTACTCCGGAAAACCGCGCAGGTTTCCCTCGCGCTTCGCTGGTGCAGAGAAACAACGACCTCTGCAGCTGTTAATTTGCAGACTCTTGCACGCCACCGCAAGTTTGCACTGCGAGCTGCCGAATCATCAGCAGATGCGCCGTCTGGGCGCGGCCTTTTCCTGTCCTGTCGTGGGGGCTCTGGGTGTGAAGTGCGTGGCAGTTCGGGGCATCGGCGCTTCAATCTGTTCTAAACAAACTTACTGCCGCAGGCAAAAAGGCACTGGACAGGCTTGATAAAAAGGGGGCTCCTGCTCCCCAAGAGGGATGCCTGGCGAGATGAGTCCGGGGAGGCTGCGGGCGTTGCCACCCGACCCCATGTATCCCATTTATTTCCCAACCATCCTGTGGTGTTGGGTCCTCGTTTTGAAGAGATAGCGCCCCGCGTCTCCTTCCTTCCTTCCTTCCTTCCTTCCTCCCTTCCTTCTTTCCATCCCTCCTGCTGCCCTCCCCCCCCCCCATCCCTGCCTCTTCCTTCCGTTATGGGCGTCGCGCCCGTTTCGGCACACCTATTGCGCGCCTCGTGGTCGCATGGGGAGCCCCCATTGGCGCAGTTCGCATGCGGTTCCCCCCATCCAGCACGCCCATCACGCGTCTCGCGGCTCCCATCGGGAGCTCCGCCGAAAGCCCCACTGAGCACGGCCCGCATGTGGCCCCACCCCCCGCTCCAAAATTTGGCATGCCCTTAGCGCGCTTCGTGGACCCATGGGGAAATCCGCCGACGACAATATTCAGAGCTGCGGTACTTTCTGCTGCATATGGCTGGGTCCTTTGCTGCATCTGGCTGGGTCCTTCGCCAGGATAGTGTTGTCTACGTGGGCCCGATGATCGAACATAAACGTGCCCCCGCCGAGCTGTGCCGAGGAGGAGGACGGGGAGGAGGAGGACGAGGAGGACGAGGAGGACGAGGACGAGGACGAGGACGAGGACGAGGACGAGGACGAGGACGATGAGGAGGAGGAGGAGGAGGAGGCGGAGGACGAGGAGGAGGACGAGGACGAGGACGAGGAGGAGGAGGAGGAGGAGGAGGAGGAGGAGGAGGAGGGCCGGGGCGACCTCGATGCGGGGCGGCGCATCGGGGCCCCTGGGGGAACTGAAATCCGCCATGTCGTCGCTTGCGGCGCCGTGGCCCTGGGGCGTTGGTGCCCTGGCGGGCCTGGGGCGGCCCCCCGACTCCGCCGGGTGGTCCCCGCTTGGGAGTCGGTCTGCCGTCTCAGGTCCCCCATGGACCCAGCGTTCTGGGGCCGCGTGGGTAAACCCCCCAGGACTGGCGCGCACTGGTTCTCCAGTCTGCGTCGGCCTGCGTGGCACCTTCGCGGGGGCTGGCTCTGGCCACTGTTGGGGCTTGCCCTTGACGTCGGGCTGTCGGGTGTGGCCAGGGGGGTCGGCTCTCGTGGAGAGTACGGCTCAAGACGTGTACCGCCTGGCCCCCCTTGGGCAAGGCTACCCATGTGCGGTAACACGCGCTGTGTGCCCCGCACGGTGACGTGGGGTAGCTTGTATCCCCTGGTGCAGGAAGAACCAGGAAGGCATGGGGGCTGGCCACCTCCAGTGGTCGGTGCTGCTCTTCGAGCAGCACATGTGAGGCTGGCGCTTCCTCTCCTTCCCCCCCCTCCTCCTCGTCCTTCCCTCCTCCTCGGGCCCCGTCGGCGTGGCGGTCGCTAGTTCCAGGTGATCGCGGGGTGGGCAATGCCCCATCCAGGGCAGGCGGGCAGGACCCAACCTGAGGAGGAAAGGGACGAGGAGGAGGACGAGGAAACATAAGGGGTGTAAAAGGAGGAGTTCGAGGAGGAAGCGGAGGAGGACGCGGGTGGGCTTCGCAGAAGGTAAGGACCTTCGTAGAAGCGCTAGGTTACTCCCAAGAGGGCTTCTTAGAAGCTGGGCGGGTTTCGCAGAAACCCGCTGCTTTCTGAAAAGCCCCCACCGCCTTCTTAGAGGGCTGCCCCTATTGCGGCCCCCCCGAGCGCGCGCTGCCAAAAGGAACCCTGGATCCGCACGGCGACGGTCCGGGACAACGTCAGGCGTGGAGGCTTACAAAATCGCACCAGCACCAACACGCCCATGTTTTCGCCGGTCTGCTTTTTCCCCACCCATATTGTGGTGTTGGGTCTTCGTTTTGAAGAGACAGCGCCCCGCGTCTCACTCCTTCTTTTCCCTCCTCCTGCCTCCTCTAGCGTCACTCCCGGTTCGGCACACACCTCACACGCTTCGTGGTCCCATAGCGGGTCCCATCCAAGGACTCCGTGGCGCAGTTCGCATGTGGGCGTTATTTCCGCTTGGCGCACCCCTCACACGTTTCGTGGCCCCGTACGGGGGCCCCACCGAGTGCCTCCTTGGCGCCGCAGTTCGCATGTGGGCTTCGCGCCCGTTTCGGTACAGTCCTCACACGCTTCGTGGCCTCATATGAAGCTACACCCAGTGCCCCCCGTGGCGCAGTTCGCATGTGGGCTTCAGGCCCGTTTCGGCACATTCCTCACTGGTCGCGTGGCCCCATAGGGAGCTCCACCGAGTTCCTGCAGTTCGCAGATGGTTCCCACCCATGTCGGCGCACCCTTCGCATGTTTCGTGGCCCAATATGGAGGCTCCACGAAAGCGATGGCGACACCGCGGTGCTCACAACTGCACATGTTGGGTCCTTCGTCCGGTTAATTTCAACTTGAGGGGCAGGGGGGTCTCTACCGGGGGGAAGTGGTATTAAATTGTTGTGTTGATGGTGTTGTTTCGGCCACCCGAAAGGCCCGAGTAGTGTTACCATCTGACCGGGATCGGAATCATCTCCCCTCGGCGGAGGCAGCCGCCGAGCTGGTGTTGGCGCCAGCTTTTGAACCTCCCACAGGTTCAGGGGCAACGTGAGAGGGGATCTGCTTTGGGGGGGATGATCGACCCCCGATCGCCCATGGATCGCCCGCCTCGCCCAGGGGCGCGCGGGTTTGCTATCGGGGGCCTATCGCCGACCTATCGGCGAGGTGCCGCCGATTTCGCCCCAATGTCCCTCACCTGAACCAGTCCCCTGGTGGTTTTTTTGTCGGGTCATCACGCGGGCCTTCGGCAGCCGTTCGGGACGATCCGGGAACCTCCAGGGCTTTCCCGGCGAGGCGCAGCTGCTGGGCAGCCCCCGGGGGCTGGAAAGCCACCGGCAGCCGACGAGAACGTCGCAGGGCTCGAACTTCGAAATTTGAACGCACCCCCTTGTCGTCCCCCCTTGTCGCCTGTCAAAGTGAGGCGTTGGAACCCACACGCACGTGATGTGACTGACCGTGGCTAACCAGATCGCCTGGACAAGATCACCCACGACAGCACCACAAACGAACCTTGAGGCTGATCCCATTCGAGGCTATGGCCTCCACGCCATGCCCTGGTGGTCACGGGCGGGCTCCCCATCGAAGCGCGCACGATTCCCCGCTGTCGGCTCCCCGCAGGTGCCTCCGCCCGGAGGACCCCGAGGCGTACGGCCGGGCGGTGGAAGCGGCGCAGCTCGTGCAGGACTTGCAGAGCCTGCCGGCGGGGGACGAGACGGAGATCGGCGCCCAGGGCATCAATCTGGACGCGCTGGCGCGGGTGTTCCCTAGGGCCCCCCCAGGTCGGAGCTGGCTTGAGGCCCGAGGCGGCCCAGATCTGGTTCTGGCCAGCAGGAAGCGGGGGCAGGCTGGCGATGTTGGGTTCGACGAGACTTACTGCTCCCAACCGCCCTGTGGTGTTGGGTCCTCTCGTTCTGGAGACAGCGCCCCGCGTCACCTTCCTTTCTTCCTTCCTTCCTTCCTTTCCTCCCGCTGCCCTCCATAATGACCTCTTCCCGTCTCTGGCATCACTGCCCCTGCCATCCGCGTGTGTCTGTTAAGGCACATCCATCATGCGCTTCGTGGCCCCATAGGGAGCTCCACCTCAGGCCCTCGTGGCGACGCTCGCATGTGGGCGTCGTGCCCGTTTCGGCCCCCCCCCACGCGATTCGTGACCCCATAGGGATCTCTACCGAAGGCCCCAGTGGCGACGTTCGCATTTCGGCGTGACGCCCGTCCCCCATGGCCCCAGAAGGAGCTCCACCTAAGGCCCGCGTTTTCTCGGAGGTCTCTTGGCGTAATCTTGGGGCTCTCTTGGGGTCCTCGCGGAGCCTCTTGGGGCACTCTTGAAGCCCTTTGGGAGCTCTCTCGGGGCCTTCCCGGGGCCCTCTTGGGGCTCTCTGGGGAGGTCTGCGAGGTCTCTTGGGGCCGTCTCGGGCCCCATGACTCCAAAAGAGGGGGGTCATCAATTCAGCCCCCCCCCCTCGGAGGCTCAAGGATGGCGTCTGGGGCGCTCCTGGCCGCCCTTGGGGCCCTCGTGGGGCCCTCTTGAACTTCTCTTGGGGCTCTCTCGGGCCGTGTTTAGTCCATCTCGAGGCCTCGAGAGCCCATCGGAAGCAAAAAGGCGAGAAGGCAGAACACATTGGTTTTCTGTAGGTTGTTGAAGGATTTGGGCCTCTTGGGGGGGTCCTTGGAGGGCTCGGAGGGCACTTGAAACTGGCTTGGGGCCGCGTTGAGGCCTCTTGGATGTGTGTCGGAGGCTATCTTGAGCCATCTTGAAGTATGTTGGAGCCATCTTGTATAGGCCATCTTGCGCTCTCAGAGGCCCTCTTGAGGCCATCTTGGGCCATCCTGGGCGTTCTAACTACCCCGTCCCCCCCCTCCCAGGCCCAGGGGAGGGGGTGGGCCGAGCAGGGGAAAGAGGGACTGTTAGAAGCAAGTGCGTCTCTTGGATGGGGGCCGAATTATGGTTCCGAATGGGGCAAGAGCCACAGTGGGTTTGAAGGGCACCTGCTGCGCTACATGCGCGATGGCGGACATTTCAGGAGGTCAGAAGGCGCGAATCGCGCTCGCGCGTGCTATTTATGACGTCGACAAATCAGACATGGTCTTTCTAGACGATGTGCTGTCAGCGGTGGACGGCCATGTGGCTCAGTGCATCATCCAGGACGTGATCTTGGCTCAATGCAAGTTCAGAGGGCGCACTTGCGCTCTCGTGGCGAACACGTTCCTGCCGCTGATCCTTCCTCACGCCGACAGCGTTGTCGTGCTGACTGAGGGGGGCCGGGTCGAGGTGGCGGGACACCCGAAAACCGCGATGCTGGAAAGCCAGTGGCTACGCCAGGTTGTGGAGGCAATGGGGGGGTGCGAGATCGACGAGATCCGCGACGGGGTGAATTGCATGGGTGATTCACGGTGCGATGGCAAGGCGAGCAGGCACGACATGGCATTGCACCAGCGGGCCAAGGAGGATTCAAGACCGAAGCAATTGAGCGTGGATGTCATGCAGCGAAGAGGGTCGGCAGACGGATCCTTGCATGTTGCCGAGGAGCGCCGTGTGGGTGTGATGGACTTGAGGGCCTACGCGGCATACTTCCGGCAAGCGACGCCCAGCCGGAGTTTGAGCGCAGGTCTTGCGACATTTGCAGTGGTGGTCGTCTTGGTTGCCCTGGCGGAGGCCTGCCGCACCTCGACGGAGCTGTGGGTCATGTTCTGGGTGCAGCAGGCGTCGCGCGGCGGCGAGAACGGCAAGGGCTTCTGGATCGGGATTTACTCGTCGCTGCTGGTCGCGCTGATCTCGAGGAGAGAACGGCACACGCATGAACTGTCAGAGGTCCGCGCAGATTTCTCAGAGCGACCCTGAGCCCTGTTCTTGGCGCGCGGAGGGCGCCAGGGGCGGCGCCAGAGGCGCCGCCGGGGGAGGGGGCCTGGCGCCGATCCGAGAAATCCGCGCAGAGCTCCGAAAGCTTATTTCTGTGCCATTGTCTGTTCTCCTGCGATCTGCGTCTCTGGGGTGCAGGTTGCCATCTTCACCTGGGCCGTGGCCGCCATAGGCAGGCAGACCCACGGCAGGATCGTCGACAAGGTTCGGCGACTACAGAAAGGGCGTGGTTACGCCAGGGTGTGGTTTGCGATCTGCGCCGTTTGGGCTTGGGGGGCACCACGCTGCCCTCGACGGGCCTCCTCGTGGCGCGGCGGAGAGCTCCGTCGAGGTCCTCGCCCGCCCCCCAGGGGGGGCCGTTGCAAGCCACACCCTTTGCAAACCACACCCTTTGGAGTCGCCGAGAGGTGCTGGGCGCCTCGGTGCCCCTGTACTTCGACGTCACGCCCCTGGGGCGGATCCTCAACCGCTTCTCGAAGGACCTGGACGCGCTGGACCTGCAGCTGCCCGAGATGATGTCGGAGTTCTTCCAGGGCTTCGCGTATGTTTTAGCAACCGCGGTCATTTTCGTCAGCACCTCCTACTGGCTGATCGCGTTCATCGTCCCCCTGTTTTTCGTCTTCGTGCGCATCCGCAAGATCTACAGCACGACCGCCCGCGAGCTGAAGAGGCTCGAGGCGATCACGCGGAGCCCGCTGTACGTGCACTTCTCGGAGACGATGGCCGGTCGGGTGCACATCCGCGCCTTCTCTCTGACGCAGCAGATGCTCGAGGAGTTCGAGACCAGGGTGGACAGGAACGCACGGATATTCATCCACCAGTACGCTCTGGTGCCCTGGCTGATCTACCGCGTGAACATTCGGGGACACGTAAGACTCGGGTTCGCCGGAACCCGGGTTCGCCGACTTGTTTGACGGGCCCGCCTTGAATTTTGACGGTCCAGCTTTCGTGGGATGCTTGCAGCGGGAGCTCGCGTCAAAACTCAGACTGGGTCTCGTCTTTTTCGTGATGGCCCCTTTCAGGCCAACCTGAGTCCCCCGAGCTCGAGTCGTACGTCGCCCCGAGACATGCTCGCCTCGACCCTGGTGGCCGGCGTCATGGTGATCTCGTCTTTCTTGGCAGGCCCGGGAGACGCGGCCCTCATCGGGCTGTGCCTCGCCTCGGGCGCGGGGCTCATCGGGAAGCTGCACGGCACGGTGACGTTCTCGATCGAGACGGAGAACCACTTCTCGGGGAACAAGAGTCAGTATCGTTTCACCGACCCCTATCCCCACGCCCATCCCCATCCAGTCCCCTGGTCGGGGCTATACCCTTCGAAGCCCGAAGGAAGCGGCCCACATCCTTGTCCAGGGGAGTAAATCGGCCAGTTGGGCCCAGGCCACGCTGGTGGGGGTAGGGGTCGGATCAACGGTGCTCGAGGAGGTGACACAGACATGAGCTTTCGGAGGTCGGCGCTGATTCCTTGGATCGGCGCTGCGCCCCCCTCCCTGGCGCGCGCAGCGCGCCAGGGGCGGCGCTGGAGGCGCCACTAGGGGGCTCCAGCGCCGATCCGAGGAACCCGCGTGGACTTCCGAAAGCTTATATGTTTATGCCATTGGTTGTTCCTCGAACCTCACGTCCGTGGAGCGCCTCGAGCAGTTCCAGCGTGCGCCGCAGGAGCAGGCGGAGCCGCGTTGCCGGCTCGGCGTTCTCGCGGGCTGGCCCGAGCACGGAGAGGTTGCCTTCGAAGACGTGCGGATGCGGTACCGCCCAGGAGGGGCAGGGGCAGGAGCAGGGGCAGGGGGAGGAGGAGGAGGAGGAGGAGGAGGAGGAGGAGGAGGAGGAGGAGGAGGAGGAGGAGGAGGGGGTGAGGAGGAGGAGGAGGAGGAGGAGGAGGAGGAGAAGGAGGAGGAGGAGGTGGTGGAAGAGGACCAGTCTAAACCAAAGACTCCATCAACGATGTTGAAATACATCCTCCCTCCTAAATCCCTCTCCTACAAGGGGTCATTTCCATTGAGGGAATTGCCCCGTTGGGGGGCAGCCGGGTGAAAATCCGAAAGCGTGCCAAAACACCATTCTCAGGATGTCAATGCCACGAACTGACCTGACTGTTACGTCTTGGCGATCCTGAACCGTGCCAGAATTCCACCCCTGGGAGCTCAAGACCGCGAGTTTACGTAACTGTGTCGCCCTGACAGTCCTGAATCGCTCCACATCGCCGTTTCTGGTACCTTAATCATGAGATCCAGTGAAACTTTTGCCAATGCTTGAAACGAATGTGCGCGGCGCTAAGATGAGGGCCACATTTTGGACAGGTACCGCCCTCAATCCGTGAAGCTCTTGCAACTGTTACAACCAATGTGCGCGGCGCTAAGGGCGAGAAACACATGTTGGAAACGGCCCGCCCCCAATCCGCGAAACTCTTGCAACATGTTTGAACGAATGTGCGCGGCGCTTAGGGGAGAGCCACTTTTTGAAACCAAACCGACCTCAATCCGTGAAGCTTTTGGAAGTGTTTGCAACAAATGCGCGCGGCGCTGAGGCGAGAGCCACATGTTGAAAACCACCCGCCCTCGATCCGTGAAACTCTTCAAAAATTTGAGAGCGAATGTTCGCGGCGCTAAGGCGAGAGCCACATTTTGAAAACGGCCCGCCCTAAAGCTCTTCAAATTTTTGAAAACGAATGTGCGCGGCGCTGAGAAGCGGAGAGCCACATTTTGATAGCGGCCCGCCCTCAATCCGTGAAGCTCTTCAATTTGTTGAAAACGAATGTGCGCGGCGCTAAGGCGAGAGCCGAATTGTGAAAACGGCCTGCCTCAATCCGTGAAGCTCTACAAGTTTTTGAAAACGAATGTGCGCGGCGCTAAGGCGAGAGCCGTATGTTGAAAACGGCCCGCCCTAAATCCGTGAAGCCCATCAAGTTTTTGAACACGAATGAGCACGGCGCTAAGGCGAGAAACACGTTTTGACAACGGCCCGCCTCAATCCGTGAATTTTTTCTACCTGTAAAACAACGAATGTGCGCGGCGCTAAGGCGAGAGCCACATTCTGAAACCCACCCGCCCTCCATTTGTGAAGCTGTTGTCAGTTTTATAGCATCAGGATCATCAGTGGTGAGGAAGTCTCAGCCGAAACGCCTGGCCCGCCCTTCCGACTGGTCTCGGGGTGCGACAGGGAGGAGTTTTCTATAAGGACAAAACATGGAGGAGGAGGAGGAGGAGGAGGAGGAGGAGGAGGAGGAGGAGGAGGAGGAGGAGGAGGAGGTGGAGGTCCGGGCTTCGAGCCGGCGAGCCTGAGCCACAGCTGCCGATGGAGGCGAGCGAAGCGAGGGGGGGGAGGGTTAGGGGGATTCCCTGGCCCGGAGTCCCTGGCTCGGCCCATGGTCCTGGAGTTCCTCTTGTTTTCCGTTGAATGTAAACATGGGCGGCGTCTCCGTCTGGCCGCCGCCGGCACCACGAGTCGCCAGCCGAGCCAAGCCTAGGGAGCGACTGGGGGGATTACAAGCTTGGCGTGCCGCGTGCTGCTTCAGGCAGGCGCTCGAGGTGACTTGTCGTCGCTCACGCTGAGCGGGGTGGCACAGCGAGCCATGTACTGATAGGAACAGCATTGATCTAGGGCGCCCCCAGGGGCGCGAAGATAATCGCGCATTGCGCGTCGCCGCCTAGGCCACAGAGCTGCACTTCTCCAGGGCGGCGGCGCGAAGGCGCATCGCGAGGTGCGATGCGCGAAGTCAGGTGGCGTAGATTGATCGTGATCGTGTCGGTGCTCTTTCAGCGGTGCGCCCCAGGGGGGGAAGGCAGAAGGCAAAGGGGGCAGGCCTTCTCAGAATGCGGCGGGGCTTCGCAGAAGCCCTCCGGCCTTCTGAGAAGCCGCCCGTGTCCCCGAAAAAGGCTTCCGAGCAGGCCCGCCCCTTCTGCCTTCCCCCTTGGGTTCGCCGCCGATTCTTGACCTTCAGCTCCCCTCTCAGAGCGGCGGAGGGGGGGGAGGACGAGGAGGAGAGGGAGTAGAAGGAGAAGGAGGAGGTGGAGGAGGAGGAGGAGGAGGAGGAGGACCAGCGTAAATCCAAGACTCATCAACGATGTTGGAATACACCCTCCCTCCAAGCTCTTTCTTCATAGGCCCCTAGCAGGACTTCTTTCCACTGAGGGAAGTGCCACGTTGGGGGGCAGCTGTGTGAAAATCCTGAAGCGTACTAAAAACCATTCTCAGGATTTCAACGCCACGAGTCAACTTGACCGCTGCGTCTTGACGATACTGAATCGCGCCGGAACACCATTCCTGGGAGTTCAACACCTCGAATCAATGTAACGGTTGCGCCCTGATAATCCTGAATCGCCGTGCAAAGTTTGAAAACGAATGTGCGCGGCGCTAAGTCGAGGGCCACATTTTGAAAACCACTCGCCTTCGATCCGTGACACTCGTGCAAGGGTTTAAAACGAACGTGCGCGGCGCTAAGGCGAGAGCCGCATTTTGAAAGCGACCCGTCCTCGATCCGTGAAGCCCTTGTGCACTGTTCGAACGACTGTTCGCGGCGCTAAGGCGAGAGACGCATTTTGAAATCGGCCCGCCCTCAATCTGCGAAACTTTTGCAATTCTGTATAAAGAATGTGCGGCGAGAGCCACATTTTGAAAACCACCCGCCCTCGATCCGTGGAGCTTTTGCAATTTGTTCACACGAATGCGCGCAGCGCTAAGGCGAGAACCACGTGTTGAAAATTACCCGCCCTCCATCTTTGGAACTGCTGCATTTTTTTAGCTTGGGTCTCATAAGCGGTAAGGAAGTCTCAGGCGAAACGCCCAGCCCGCCTTTCCGACTGGCCTCGGGATGCGACAGGAAGGAGTTATTCAGAAGGGAGGAACGAAGGAGAGGAGGAGGAGGAGGAGGAGGAGGAGGAGGAGGAGGAGGAGGAGGAGGAACAGCAGAGGGGAGGCCTGCCTCTCGTGCTGGACGGCGTCTCCTTCCGAGTGGGCCCAGGGCAGAGGGCCGGCATCATCGGCCGCACGGGCTCCGGGAAGTCCTCCTGCACGCTGGTGGCCAGGGGGGACGGGAGCTCCTGGCCGGAGAGGAGGAGGAAGGACGAGGAGGAGGAGGAGGAGGAGGAGGGGGAGGAGGATGTGGAGAAAAAGGAGGAGGAGAAGGAGTTTGAGAAGGAAGGAGGAGGAGGAGGATAGGGATTGACTACGTCAGGATGACTTCATGGCCGCGAGAGAGAGAGAGAGAGAGAGAGAGAGAAAACAAACATGGGAGGAGGTGGAGGAGGAGAAGGAGGAGAAAGAGGAAGAGGAGGAGGAAGGAGAAGGAGGAGGAGGAGGATGAGGATAAGGAGGAGGAGGAGGAGGACGATGATGATGATGATGATTCTGATGATGATGATGCTGATGATGATGATGATGATGCTGCTGCTGCTGATGATGATTATGATGATGATGATGATGATGATGGTAATGATGATGATGATGATGTGAGGAGGAGGAAGAAGACGAGTAATAATGCTACAAATGGAGCGAACGATAGTACTACTAACAAGCATATTAATATTACAATCCGTAATAATGCTATTGTCGTATTTGTATTAATATTCATAGTAAAATGATCATATTAATCCTACTAGCAATCAGAATAACAAACTGATAATACTAATGATACGGCTAATAGGATTTATACTCGTACGAATAAGAAGACACGAATACTTAAGGAGGAGGAGGAGGAGGATGCGGAGAGGAGGAGGAGGAGGAGGAGGAGGAGGAGAGGAGGAGGAGGAGGAGGATGGAAGAGGAGAAGGAGGGGGAGGAGGAGGATGTGGAGAAGAAGGAGGAGGAGGAGGAGGAGTTTGAGAAGGAAGGAGGAGGAGGAGGAGGAGGAGGAGGATAAGCATGACTACGTCAGGATGACTTCATGGCCGCGAGAGAGGGATATAGATATAGAGAGAAGCAACAAAAAAACGATGAGGAGGAGAAGGAGGAGGACGAGGAGGAAGAGGGAGAAGAGAAGGAGGAGGAGGAGGACGAGGAACTGGAGGAGAAGGAGGAGAAGGAGGAGGAAGAGGATGAGAGGATGAGGAAGAGGAGGCGGAGGAGGATGCGAAGGAGGAGGACGAGGAGGAGGAGGAAGGAAGAGGAGGAGGAGGAGGAGGAGGAGGAGGAGGAGGGGGATGAGGAGGAGGGGGAGAAGAATAAGGATTTGGAGAAGGAAGGAGGAGGAGGATAAGGATGACTTACGTCAGGATGACTTCATGGACGCGAGAGAGAGAGAGAGGATAACCAAAGGCAAGAAAGGGGTGAGGAGGAGAGGAGGAGGAAGAGGAAGAGGAGGAGGAGGAGGAGATGAGGAGGAGGAGGAGGAGGACGAGGAGTTGGAGGAGAAGGATGAGAAATGAGAAGGAGAATGTGGAGGAGGAGGAGGAGGAGGAGGACGAGGAGGAGGAGGAGGAGGAAGAGGATGAGGAGGAGTAGGGGCAGGAGGAGGAGGATGCGGATGAGGAGGATGAGGAGGAGGAGGAGGAAGGAAGAGGAGGAGGGGGAGGAGGAGGTGGAGGAGGGAGAGGAAGAGGGGACGAGGAGGAGGAGGAGGGGAAGAGGATGAGGAGGAGTAGGGGCAGGAGGAGGAGGATGCGGAGGAGGAGGAGGATGAGGGAGGAGGAGGAGGAAGGAAGAGGAGGAGGGGAGGAGGAGGAGGAGGAGGAGGAGGAGGAGGAGGAGGAGGAGGACGAGGAGGAGGAGGAGGAGGGAGGGGGGAGGAGGAGGAAGTGGAGAAGGAGGAGGAGGAGGAGGAGGAAGGGGAGTTTGAGAAGGAAGGAGGAGGAGGATAGGGATGACTACGTCAGGATGACTTCATGGCCGCGAGAGTGAGAGAGAGAGAGAGAGAAAGAGAGAGAAAGAGAGAGAGAGAGAGAGAGACAATGACAAAAAAGAGGGAGGAGGAGAATGAGGAGGAGGAGGAGTTGGAGGAGAAGGGGGAGGATGATGATGATGAGGAGGAGGAGAAATAGAGGAGGAGGAGGAGGAGGAGGAGGAGGAGGAGGAGGAGGAGGAGGAGGACGAGGAGGACGTGGAGGAGGACGAGGAGGACGTGGAGGAGGAGGAGGAAGGACGAGGAGGAGGAGGAGGAGGAGGGGGAGAGGAGGTGTGGAGAAGAAGGACGAGGAAAAGGAGTTCGAGAAGGAAGAGGGAGGAGGATAAGGAGACTACGCAGGATGACTTCAGGCCGCGAGACGAGAGAGAGAGAGAGAGAGAGAGGACAGGAAACACAAGAACGAGGGAGGAGGGGGGAGGAGGAGTAAGAGGAGGAGGAGGAGGAAGAGGAGGAGGAGGAAGAGGGAGGAGGAGGAGGAGGAGGAAGAGGAGGAGGAGGACGAGGAGGACGAGGAGTTGGAGGAGAAGGAGGATGAGGAGGAGGAGGAAGAGCATGATGATGATGATGATGATGATGATGATGATGATGATGATGATGATGGAGGAGGAGGAGGAGGAGGAGGAGGAGGAGGAGGAGGCAGAGGAGGTTGAGGAGGAGGAGGAGGAGGGAGGAAGAGGAGGAGGAGGAGGCGGAGGAGGAGGAGGAGGAGGAGGAGGAGGAGGAGGTCCACGTCAGGATGCCACGTGTTGTGATTCTTGCGCAAGTATGAACCCCATCAGGTGGGATAGCGCGGAGTGTACGTAGTCCTGGGCACGACCCCCAAATGTCACGGGGTCGGGGCGATCAGTGTTTTTCTTGCCCTTTTCATCCTCCTCCTCCTCCTCCGCCTCTTCCTCCCTCGTGCTCTCATCCTCCCTCTCTTCCCTCCTGGCTTCGCTAGGAGTTACGTTTTCCCTTTCGGCTCGCGGTGTGGGTCCTTCGAATCTCGGCTTCCGCCCGTTGCGGTGCCCGCGGCAGAGGGAGCACAGAGAGCCTATGGTGACGCTGTTGAGGGCCTTTTTGGAAACTGGAGGAAAAAGAACAAGCGCTGCCGCCAGGAACCGGAGACCTTGCTGCACAGGACATGGCTGTGCCCAGACAATTTGTCGGCTGAACATCCTGAGTTCAAGCGTTCGGATGCTCTCGTTCCACAGGCCCTGGTGGACCATGAGAGCTAACTGACCTTGTGGCTCCGGGGTGTCCCTGGCCAAGACCTGACTTGCCCGAGCTTTGATGAGGATGAACTGCGCGACGCTGTCCTTCACTTTGGAGAGGGCAGCCTGCCTGACTATCGGAAGGGAGGTCGCCTGATCGTGTTTGGGGACGGGTCGGGAGGGACGTACCCGGACGACCCAAGAAGGCGACGCTGTGGAGCAGCGGTAGCTGCTGTCTGCGAGGGCGAAGCAGGATCTTGCCTGGGCGCGATGGCAGTTGTGCCTCCGACGGGCCATCGTCGAAGCGTGCCGAGGGCCGAGCTCCCGGCCCTGCGCCTGGCCCTGGAAAACACCCCTGGGGGACATGCGCGACGTCACGGACTACGGGGCCATCGTTAGAGAGCGTGGCCGTGGAGGAGTGTCCGACGGTCCAAGGCGGCCAGTGAGGACCTCTGGCATCGAGCCCGACAGGCCCTGGCCGCGCGCGGGGAGGGAGCTCGCTCCGGAGTGGATCCCCCCACCGCGCCGAGGACGAGCTCGAGAGCCTTTGCACTCGCCGAGTTGCCAGCAGCAAGCAAGGGCACAGCCAAGGTTGCAGAGCCTTGGCCGAGCATAGAATCAAGCCTGGAGGAAGGAAGGCCCCCCCTCCCGCCTCAAGCTTTTGATGGAGGCCTCTGCCCACAGCCTCCAGAAGATGGGGTGCACGTGGCAGTGCCGACACTTCAAGCAATTAGTGCACCAGAAGTGTGTGGTTGAATTTTGCGCACTGGATGTCAGGGCGCGGTGCGAGAGAGCGCCCCGGTTGCCTCGACCAAGCCTCGCGGGAGCCCTGGGGTGTGCCCTGACGGCCTCGGCGCGGATTGCACCCGTCTCCTGTGCTGAGCTTTTGGGCCACATGCCGAATGCACCCTTGCGCGCGCTGCGGCCTGTACGCGACGACGGACGCCGGGCATATGCGTGAGGCCTGCGGCGTGCCGAGCCGCAGGGGAGGGGAGAACTTCCCCCGAGTCAGGACAAGGCTTTGCCCGCGGCGGGGAGGGCCGCTGCGGGCAGTGCTGGAGGCCCTGCACAGTGAAGCAGCGCGCGAGGCAGAACCTGTGCACGAGCAGCCTGGGAGGCGAGGGCCCGAGGCATGTTCCGGAACCGCTCCGCGGGAGCGTGGTTTCTGAGGGCTGTTCTCGCCTCCAGATTTGCCGCGAGACGCGGCTTCAACTCTCGATGGCGGGCAGGACGTGTCTGCCGCAGGGGTCGCTTGCGCTGCCTGTGACAGAGGTGGGCTGCCTTTCATTGCAGGCATATGGTGCTCATATGTAGAATCCTCGCTTAGAATCCTCCTCCTCCTCCTCCTCCTCCTCCTCCGATTCCTCGTCCATTGGGGGTGGGGGGAGGACAGAAGAGATAGAGGGGGAAACGGACAGGGTGGGTGGGGAAGGGGCGGTCGTCAGGGGCAACGTTTTAACCTCCAATCGCCCATGCATCGCCGAGAAGGGCATGAGAAGGACCCGACAGCCCACCCCGCGAAGGAGAACGTGCGGATTCAGCAACGGGGACCTATCGCCGATCTCACGTCGATGTATCGCCCATTCGAGCTCGATTTCTCCTCCCCCTATCCCCATCCCTCCATCCCCAGACATCCGCCAATATGTTTCTGTTCAATCTGGGCCCCCCGACCCCTTCCCTGGGGCCAGATTTTCGCCCCGGATCCAGTTTTGATGGTCCTGAAGCCCGATAACGGCTCCTGGAGGCCGACATCGAGGAAAGACGTTGGGATTGAGAAGATCTCGTCGGAGATCTGAGCAATTTCCCTTTCAGGGGGTCGAGAGGCCCGTGGGGAGAGGAAGGTGCTGCTTCGCCTGGTGGAGCCGTGCGGGGGCCGGGTCCTCCTGGACGGCGTGGACGTCTCGCAGGTGCCGTTGTCGGTGCTCCGCGGGCAGGCGCCTCCTCCTCCTCCTCCTCCTCCTCCTCCTCCTCCTCCTCCTCCTCCTCCTCCCTCCTCCTCCTCCTCCTCCTCCTCCTCCTCCTCCTCCTGCTCCTCCTCCTCCTCCTCCAGTTTTTTCGTCCTCCTCCTCCTCCTCGTGATCGTGCTCTTGCTCTTGCTCTTGCTCTTCGTAGTCCTCCTCCTCCTCCTGCTGCTGCTCCTGCTCCTCCTCCTCCTCCTCCTCCTCCTCCTCCTCCTCATCATCATCATCATCATCATCATCATCATCATCATCATCATCATCATCATCCTCATCCTCGTCCTCCAGCTCCTCCTCCTCCTTGTCCTCGTCGTGACTCCTACTCATCTTGCCTCCTCCTCCTCCTCCTCTCCTCCTCCTCCTCCTCCTCCTCCTCCTGCTCCTCCTCATCGTCACCGTCGTCTCTCCGAAATCACATCTCTCCGAAATCATCTTGGTTCGAGGCCTGAGCCTCCTCAGGGCCCGCTCGCCGCCTCCTCCTATAGCGGAGCGGCCAGCGCGCGCGGGCGCGCGCCGAGGGAGGCCATGGGAGACGTGAAGCCCGGGGAGGTGGAGGAGCTTGGCGGCGCCTACGAGTCGGCGACTACCAAGGGTGTGGTTACGCAGGGGGTGTGGTTGGGGATCCGCATCGCTGAGGCCTGGAGAGCACGACGCTGTCCTCGTCGGGCCTCCTCGGGGCGCGGCGGAGAGCCATGTCGAGGTCCTCGCCCGCACCCCAGGGTGCCCCCCAGGGTGCCGGTTGCAAGCCACACCCTCTGCAAGCCAGACCCTTCGGCGGCGCCTGCGGGGGGGTGGCGCGCGGGCGGCGGCCCTCCAAGAAGGCGGGGGTGCTTCTGACTGAGCAGGGGGCCCTCTCAGAAGCCCTCCCGGCTTCCGAGAAGCCGTCTTGGAAGCCGCCAGTGCCTTCCAAGAAGGCCCTTGCCTTCTCAGCAGGAGGCTTGGAAGCCTGGAGGGCCTCCGAGAAGCCACCCGCCCTCTCAGAGGCTCCCCCGCCTTCTTGCAAAACAAACGGCCGCCCTCATCGCGACACCCCCATGTTCGAGCGGGTGATCGACTAAAGAATTGATTTACCCCGAGATTGACTTCTTCGTCGAACCCATACAACATACTAGGTACCTTTTGTATGATCGATGAGCATATCAATGATGGGGTGGATGAATTCTGTACTGCAGTCGATCCCTTACTCGACTTGTGAGTGGCGCCAAGGAGTTCTGCCGGACCAACCGCTTGGACGAGAAGGCGATCCAGAACATGCTGGGGGAGCCCCCGCACATCCAGCGCGTCGTCATGGACCGCGGCCCCGTCGCGGACTGCAGAAACCCGAGCTCGGCTCTGATCGGCCGCATTCGCGACGCGAAACTGGAGACCAAGTATGGTGCCGGAGGCTCAAGGGCAGCGTCAAGGGGGCATAGTTTGACTCAGGGGGAGATGCATCCACCCCGGATCGCCCATCGATCGCTGGTAGCGGCCCGATAGCCCCACCCCGCCCATGAGAACGTGCGGACTCGCTGTCGCGAGCCTATCGCCGATTTCTCGGCGACGTATCGAAGATTCCAGGTCGATGTTTCCCCCCCCCCTCCTGGTGCTCTGGTGGTTTTCGGGCCTTAGCTCGGGCTTCCGGCGGCCGTTCGGGACGCTCTCGGCGAGGCGCAGCTGCTGGAGAGCAATCCGAGGCTGGAAAACCATCGATACCCAATGAAAGCGCCAGAAACCTCCAAAGTCGAACTTCGAAACTCGAGCCTTGAATCTCGAGCGCCCCCCCTCCTGTCGTTGCCCCTCAGGTGCTGGAGGCTCCACCAGCAGCGACACAGCGAGGTCCCGTTCGGCCGGCATGGGCGGCGGGCTGGCCGGCCTGGGCGTCGATCGCGCGGTCTCGTTCCATCCAGTCTCGGCGGCGGGCTGGCCGGCTACGGCGGCGTTGGAGCCGTCTGGGGGCCTGAGGTGGTCCAGCATTGGCTCCAGCCAGCAAGAAGGGCGGGCAGGTTCGAGGCTCTGAGTTCGGGAGAGTTTGTTCGCTTTTTTTCGACCCCCAGGGGCCGCTTTCGGGCCCCGGGACCATGAAAAACTGATATAGGGTGAAAGATTGCAACTTGCTCATTCGCCTTTGGTTGCTTGTCTGTACTCGTATACGTCTCGTTGCGAGCTTTTGTCGGGTGACGACCCTCTCTCCCTT